GCTTAGTACCAAACCCGGATTCCTACATTCAAAAAGTAAAACACAAGGGAGATTCAATCCCTAGACCTGAAACTCAATATAAAGCCTTTTGACCATCTCGCCAACTTGCCTTCGTGACATAATCCGTTCTTTTATCTTACTTATCCTACGTATTTCATACTCCATACTACAATTGTTTATTAATAGTAATTATAATATTAACTATTCTTTGCTTTTGCTCATTATTACCATATTTAAAGACTAATTCATATTTTTGAAGTACTTATTTGATCTAGGAATCATACTATTAATTTATATAAATATATTTATAATTTTTTTTATATATTGGTAGGTTCCTAATAAGTCTGATGATCATCAAAAGTGTTGTAATGCTCATAATAGATCTGATGCACATTAAAAGTTCATTAATGCTCATTTAACATAAATTGTGATTTTCATTCTAATAGATGAGGTTATATGCTCAATCATTTCAATAGATGAGGTTTGATGCTCAATGAAATATGTTGTTACGTCATACTAACAAACTATGCGATTTTCATATCAACGAACATTTTGTAAGTTACGTATGCTCATCCGGTACTGATCTTGTGCTCATTTTCTAAATGTCATATCAATGCATTTGCTTTAAAGTACTATTTTACATTAGGTTCACATATTGAAATTCATAGGAGTTGATTAGAAATATAATTTAATAAGTTTTTATAAAAGGAAAAATAACAAAAAGAAAGTGAATTAGAAGTTATGAAGTGGAGATCACGATTCTGAATATTAGACTTCTAATACTCAACATAATAGGTTTGATGCTCATTAAAATTTCATTAATGCTCATTCACCAGAAATCGTGATTATCATCTCAATAGCGGAGATTTGATGCTCAATTAAAAAGTCTTGATATTCAACTAACAATTCTTGCGATTTTCATATCAATGTGCACTTTGTAAGTTATGTATGCTCATTTGGTAGTGATTTTATGCTCATTTTTAAAATGTCATATCAATGCATATTTCAAAAATATCATATGAGCAAATTAAACTTACCAAATGTGCATTGATATGAAAATTGCCAGGTTTGTTATTTGAGTATCACAACACTTTCATTTAGCATCAAACCTTCTCTCTTGAGATGAAAATCACAGTTTCTGTTAAATGAGCATGTATTAACTTTTAGTGAGCATCAAACCTATTTTGTTGAGTATTATGAGTCTAATGTTGAACATCATGATATCTGCTTCATAACATTGTAAAAATGAGCATAACATGAGTACCAAATGAGCATACATAACTTACAAAGTGCACATTGATATGAAAATGTAAGGTTTGTTAGTTGAAGATCATGACATTTTAATTGAGCATCCAACCTCCACTATTGAGATGAAAATCGCGAGAAAATCACGACTTCTGGAGAATAAATAATAATGAACATTTAATGAGCACCAGACCTATTCTGTTGAGTATTAGGAGTCTAATATTCATAATCGTGATATCTGTTTCATAACTTCTAATTCACTTTTTTTTATCGTAAGGTTTGTTAGTTGAACATCACGACATTTTAATTGAGCATCAAACATCTGCGATTGAGATGAAAATTACGGTTTCTTGTGAATGAGCATTGATAAACTTTTACTGAGCATCAAACCTATTATGTTGGGCAACAGGAGTCTAATATAAAATATTCCGTAGTACTTCTAAAAATGTATTGATATGACATTTATAAAATGAGCATAGAATCAAATGAACATACATATCAAATCTTGTCTATTGAGATTGATGAAAATCATGATTTCTATTAAATGAGCATTAATGATTTTTTAATGAGCATCAGGCCTATAGAAATGAGCATATGTAAATTATATCATTTAGAAAATGAGTATAAGATGAGTACCAGATGAGCATAGTAACTTACAAAATGCGCATTGATGTGAAGATCATAAGATTTTTTAGTGAAATATCACGACATCTTAATTGAGCATCAAACATCCTCTATTGAGATCAATGAGTATTAATGAATTTTTAATGAGCATCAGATGTAGGAGTTAAAAAACCCACGCACAAGCCTAAAACTCTAAAAGAACAGTTAATTTTTTTTAAAGCTAAAAGAACAGTTAATTAAGAAGGGAAGGAGTAACTATATGATGTAGGAGTTAGGACTGAGTGAGTCTTTAATAATAATACGATTTTAAAAAACATGATGTAGGACAATAGGAGTGAATTCGCTGCTTTTGAAAACCTGGGGCGAATAGCGGAATAGCACTTCATATACTAAAAAAATAAAAAGGATGGAGCAATAAGGCAGTGCACTTCAAAAAATATCAAACAAAGGGTGTAGCACTTGAAGGTTTCGAACATCTGACGTGAAGCCAAGGAAGAGTTTTGATATCATCGGTGTTGCCAAATAGACTAGTAACAATTATTGAGGTGAAACCAATGCTGACCGTCATTAACACATAGGTCCGCCCCTGATGACAGCAGAAGAAGAATCAAGAATAGAGCATGAATGAGAGAATCAGCCTGCCACGTCATTTAAAAACCGGGTGTACATGTACACCCGGATGTATAATATAATTTACCCCATTGTAAAACATCTACTCCGTATTTCGGTTTTAATGCACCAAACCCCCCTGTGATTTGGAAATTCGGCGCATTAGCCCCCTGTGATTTAAAAAATGCGTCAAACCCCCCTGTGTTTTAAGTAATCATGCACAGAACCCCCTTTATGAATAAATTTAACGATTTGAAAATCACTTTTCCTAATATTTTGATTGAATATGCAAATAAATATGTCAAAATCTCTGAATCATACAAAAATGTTAATTTTTTTCTTTTATTTGACAATTGAATTTGTTCACATAAGGGATTTGGCGCATGATTAATTAAAACACAGGGGGATTTGACGCATTTTTTAAATCACAAGAGGCTAATGCGCCGAATTTCCAAATCACAATTAAGTTTTTATTTTATTGCATTTTATTTTTGAGTTAAATTTTGTTAACTCCTATCATTATTTATTCAATAATATGGAGTGGGTTCTTTTAAAAAAATTAATTAAAATAAAATTTATTTACATACTAATAGTTACGAAATATAGTGTTTGATAACTTAAGTCTAAAAGTTGAAAATAAATTACTACTCCGTATGTTTTGCTGCAACTCTATTTACTACTCATATTTCCTAAATAATCTTTATTTTAATAAAAAAATATAATTATTTATAAATATAATGTTGAATTATTTTGTTAACTGATGACAAAGTACTAAAATCTGACAATTAATCTAAATGGGTCAGAAATGAATCCGTCACTAAAGTAGTCAGCCTTTAGTCTAGTCCATCACGACCTAGTTAACGTGTTCGATGATCCTTCTTAATTTTTTTATGTTGGTTATGGTACTTTTGGTCTGATCTCGCAGATTCGGACTAAATGATTGGCGCAATTAGAGACTACTTTAATCAGAACAAGAGTTACTCCGTATTACTACGTATTTTGCAAAAAAAAAAAAAAACAAGATAATTTTTGGTATTATATATTTATGTTTTCTTATTTACAACCTTATCAATACATTTTGTAAGTTTAATTTCCACTATTAATTACTTTAACCATTTAAAATTCTTTAACTTCAATTATTTTAAGTCTTGCAAAGGGGCTCGTAAAGAGTTTTGAATTACTTAACCTGGTTAAATTAATTAGACCTTATCAAACAAGTTCAAGATTTTCAAACATACACATCATTGAAGTATTGAACCAAAACTTAATTTTGCAGTCATATCTTGTAATGCATTTCCCTTTTTATCACCGAATTATGAAGGCCCGCTAGCACATTGGGATCTGGAGCCTCTACCTTACTTTAGGGGTGCCTTGCTTCTTCCCGGTCATCCGATCGACAATTCGACGGTAGGAGATTTTGGGCTCCACTTTTTCGCCGATCTCGAGGCTGTCTTGGCCGCTCCCCTGTCGTTCGATGCGCAAGGCACCTCTACCTTACGGCAGAGGATGCGGATCCAGCACATTGGTAGTATGTACTACCTCCGTCCTTTTTTATTGGGATAGAAGAGGGTGACACGAGTTTTAAGAAAAGTGAGTTTGTGTGGTTGATATTAATTGATAAAGTAAGAATAAATTAAGAATTATTTTGAACCACACAAACTTTACCAAATAAGATATGAGACAATTAAAACGGGACATTTAAAAGGGGACAAAGGGGAGTACTACGTAACATTCTCATTTTCACCCTAATATTTGATTTTTCATGTAAGTCAGGTAGGATGTTTTCTTTTGGACTGTTTTTAGTTTCAGATCGGATCAAATTAGACCAAATCAGATCAGTATAGATCAAACTAAACTTTCATAATTATAAAATACATACAGACCAGACTAGATCTGGTCAAATCATCAATTTTCAGTCTAAAAGAAAACAGCTCCCAGGGTTTAGGAAACTGAGTTTTTTTTCTAATTAATGTTAATTAATTAATTAATTACGAAATTAGGGCTGAGTTAAAAGTATTTACCAAAATACTGCTGGATTAACCATGGTCGGGGTAAGTCGCCCAACGGTTGGGCGACTTATAAGTCGCCAAACGGTTTGGCGACTTATAAGTCGCCCAACCGTTGGGCGACTTACCTATTAAATAGGCAGACGGGTTGGCTCGCAGACAGAACGCGTTTATTCCCCCAAATCCCCCCAAACCTCTGCTGCAGCGACGACGGACGAGCGACGAGCGACGAAGGACGACCCATCTCCAGCTCCGGCGAGCCTCCTTCTCCGTCGACCCCATTCCGGCGAACCTCCTTCTCCATCTTCATCTCTCTTTCTTCTTTCTTCTAGGTAAATCAAAATCCATTTCATCTCATTTTGAACCTAGGGTTTTGAATGTTAAAAATTTCGAATTTTTGTATTATGAATTGATTGTGAATTCAGTTGTTGTGAAATGTGGATATGTATGAAATGTTGAAATTTGATTTTAAATTGATTGTAAATTTTAATGTGTATTTTGACATTTGGGCATTTGGATAGACTTGATTTTAGCTAAATTTGGATATTGAAATGTAGACGTACTTGAATGTAGTTATCAAAATTTGGGTAGTTTCATATTGAGATGTGAATTGTTGGTCAATTTCGACTTTTGAATATATTACAATTTTGGTAGCTTTTTTATTTAGGAAATTTGAATGTGTATAAAGTGTGTATATTGATGCGTACTCAATTGAATTTTGGACAATGAATTGTTATTAGAATATGGATTTCTCAAGCTTCCCAATCGTGTGTCATTGGGGAGGGAACTATTATGAGGATGCTGGGCAAATATGCCATGAAGGTGGCAGAACGAGCTTTGTCATGGTTTCTCGTGGCGCTTGCATGGTCGAGATCCTTCAAAAAATACATGCAGCGACAATGATTCATCCCGGCCGTTCATTGCGGTTGAAAATGAAATTTCCCATGAACGGGGGAAAGTACATGCTTATGCCGCTCATTGATGAGCTAGCTATAACAAATATGTGGGGCATAATTCAGATGGAGGATATGTCGTCGCTGGAGGTATACATTGAGGAATGCTTTGACGCTAATGCTACTCAATCGACATCAAATGCTGGTGTATCTAGGCATGATGTCATTGCAGGGGTGAATGCAGGGAAGTCGTCAAAGGTTCCTGTACTAGACATGGTTATACAGGAGGATGGCAGGTATTTGCACAACGGTGCATCATTTGTGGATGGGCAGGGAAGTGATGATGATGCAGACGAGAACATCAATGGTGACGACATGACAGAATCTGATGAAGATGATGGTGATACTGTGACATCAACTGCCCCGTCTAGCCACTTCACTAGAATGTATGATCTCCCTGAAGGTTTTACTGATGCGTGGATGAGTGGATCAGGTGAGAAAAGGTTTACCCCCGATGGTGAGTTTGAGGTCGGTCAACAGTTTGACAACAAAGAACAAGTCATCAATATGGTGAGCTTGTATTCTATCAAACGGAACCAATTCTATCGGGTGATAGAGTCCGACAAACACAAATGGGTGGCACAATGCAAAAGGAAGAAAGAATGTCAATGCCCCTGGAGAATACGCGCCACAAAGAATAAAGGCAACCTTGACACCTTCACAATTGTGCGTTATTCTGGACCTCATTCTGCTTCTTGTGTAGGCAACATCGACACTACAGATCACGTGGCCTTGACATCAGAATTCATCTGTAAAGATGTGGTTGACATTATTCGCACTGATCCTTCTCTTAAAGTGCATACTATCATCGAGATGTTGAAGGAAAAATATGGGTATACGGTATCTTACCGGAGAACATGGATGGGGAAGCAAAAGGCCATAGCACAAATATTTGGCGGTTGGGAAAAGTCATATTTCGAATTGCCCCGTTTCATGACAGCGCTCCAACATTCTAATCCAGGAACTGTTGTTCAGTGGTACCCACCCCCCAATGGTGCGACAGGTTATATGATGTTTCAAAGAGTTTTTTGGGCATTCAAGGCATCAATATCTGGTTTTAAGCATTGTCGACCCGTACTTACTATTGATGGCACACACATGTATGGAAAGTACAAGGGCACATTGCTCGTGGCCATGAGTTGTGATGCGAACAACCAAATTTTCCCAGTCGCCTTTGCAGTTGTTGAATCCGAGAATGGAGACAGTTGGCCATGGTTTATGGCATGTATTAGGCATTTTGTGACTAACAGGGAGTTGTGTGTCATTTCAGATAGACATGGAGGTATTGTTAGGGCAATGAATGAGGTTGGAAGTAATTGGGAGGAGCCTTATGCGCATCATAGGCTATGCATCCGTCATCTTGCTTCAAATGTGCACACTCATTTCAAAGACATTCATTTAAAAAATCTATTTGTGTGGACCGCACGGCAACATCAGAAAAAAAAATTTGATGGTGGGTTCAAGAAGATAGGTGAAATGAGTAGGGATGCACGACAATTTTTGGCCAACATTCCTCCAGAAATGTGGTCGCTGCACCATGATGGCGGGTACAGATACGGTACCATCACTTCAAATCTGGCTGAGGTTTTCAATAGCGTCATGAAAAATGCTAGATATTTGCCCATTACCGCCTTGGTCCAGGTGTCTTTTTACCGGGTTAATGCGTACTTTGTGAATAGGCGTGAAACTAGTAAGTTGAGGCTCACACAAGGCCACGAGTACTCCCCATACATCACAGATTTAATTGAAAAAAATAGAGAGAAGGCAAAGCATCACATTGTCACTCCTTTTGATTTAGGGCGAGGTATATTTCAGGTGGAGACCGGTTGTGGTGGCAGAACGTTGGGAAAGGGTGGGAGAAAACAAACTGTCCATCTACAACGGAAAACGTGCACTTGCAAAAAGATGGAGATATACAAGATTCCTTGCTCCCATGTATTAGCCGTGTGTAGACAACGTAGTTTGTCTTATGCTCCATTTGTGGATAAGTTCTTCTCTTCTGACCAATACGCCGCCACGTATCATAGGGTGTTCAAACCGATTCCTGATCGTGATTATTGGCCAAATTACAATGGACCCGAAATCGTGCATGATCCATCCATGCTTCGGGCGAAGGGAAGACCAAAGTCGACCCGTATTAAGAATGAGATGGATGAAGGCCCACGAGGAACGGTTAGATGTGGAAGATGCCACCAAACCGGCCATAATAGAGCGACATGTGCAAAGAGATCATCTAGACAAGCGGGGGGGTCCGCTGGGTATGTGTATATTTCGAGTCAATCATAATTCATTATTTCCTTGCATGGAAAATTAATAAATTCAAAAAAGGAAGTTAAAAAAAATGTAATACATTATACAATTACAACTAATACAATTAGAACTAATACAAATTTTGTTTGTAGGCATGGAGGTGATAGCGGATCCTGGGCCGAGTGATCCTTCTGTCCTGACACTGCAGGCCTCACACAGGAGTGAGGATGTTTGGCTTGGCATGGATGTGCAGGTTGATAGGTGCCGCGAGCATCTGCGGGGTTTGTCCCATTTACATGTCGACCCCAGAGTCCTAGCATATGTTCGTGCAGCAGGTTTTTTTACACTGCACAGGTTAGTGGCTACTGTGCCTTTAGATAGAGCCCTCCTCACTGCTCTACTTGAGCGTTGGAGGCAGGAGACACATTCATTTCACCTCCCTGTTGGTGAGGTCACTGTGACATTGGGAGATGTGGCTGTACTGACTGGGTTAGAGGTTGATGGGAGAGCTGTTACAGGCACTGCTTGTCGACAGTGGGTGGATGAGTGTGAGAGGTTGTTAGGCATCCGCCCCGTTCTTAGGGCTGACCTTCAGGGGTCATCTCTTAGGATGCCATGGTTGAGGGAGCACTTCCAGGCCCTTCCTCCCGACGCTGATGAGATGATCATCCAGCAGCATGCTCGGGCGTATATATTGATGATGATGGGAGCCTCCATTTTCGCTGACAAGAGCGGAAATGAGGTTCAGGTGCTACACCTGCCTTTGCTGGAGAGGTTTGATGTAGCAGCACAGTTTAGCTGGGGTAGTGCCACCCTGGCTTATCTCTACAGGCAGCTGTGTCGCGGGTGCCAGAGAGGGAGCACAGAGCTGGGGGGATTTTTGCTACTCCTCCAGATTTGGTCATGGGAGTATATCCACATTGGCCGTCCCATTATAGTTGGATATCATGGCATTGATGGACAGCCACTGCCTGATGAGCCTCCACGTCTGCTAGGACCACATCATGTACGGGGCGTGGACCCTCTAGGCCGTCGGTATGTTTTCAATCGTTTGTATTTGTGTTAGTTTTTGTTGAATGAAAATGCATTAATAAAATCCATATTATTGATATTGTAACATTAATGGTTAGGTGGCTATATGCTGGTTTATCTCGCATGTCATCCGCTACTGGTCTCGGTGTGTACAGGGATGCATTGGATCGGATGTCAGAGGACCAGGTATGGTGTGTGTAGTATAACAGTAACTAGAATAGGTGTAGAATAAATACTAATTTTGTATGTTTACGAAACAGATCACATGGATGCCGTATAGACCTGATATGTTAGCAGAGTTGCCCCCAGCTGGACGAGAGCAGACTCACATATGGCGAGCACGTGTGCCGCTGATATGTTTTGACATTGTTGAGCTTCATTTGCCTGATAGAGTCATGCGACAGTTTGGGTTTGAGCAGGTCATTCCACGTCCTATCGACACTTATGTAGAGCTGCATAAGCTGGATAGGCGTGGGAAACATACAGAGGATTGGGCACTCAGACATGTCCGATACGTGACTATGTGGGATAGGAGAGCTGAGCTAGCCGTGGCTGGGACACCCACATATGTGCCATCAGTTTCAGGAGATTACATGGGATGGTACTACAGCATCACTCGGTTGTTTGTGTCTCCTTCGTTCAGACTCCCTACTCATCATTATCAGCCTAGCTCATTGGCATTGCATCTTACGGTGAGTATATTACTAATTAGTAAAGTAAGTCATTTTATTTATGTAATACTTGTATGTATTTGAATGTAATTGTAATTGTGTTTCGTATTTCAGACCCGAGCTTTGCAGCGCATACATCAGCGGGCTACTGCCACTGTGACTGATATTCCTGATGTGGACATGTATGGACAGACTCTGACAGGCATTGCCTCGTTATGCTCAGATGTCTTGGGTCGAGTAGACTACGGACATCTTATACACATGCCCGCATCTCAGGAGATGGCATCCACGTCTAGTGCAGCCGCGGGTTCATCATCCCAGACGCAACATGAGAGAGTGGTTCTTCAACCACGACAACGCCGTAGGCGTAGACATGAGCAGCAACATCTCCATGACGAAGCTGATGATGGGAACTTGTAGTTTGTCTTTTGTATTATAGTTTTTCTTATGCAATAGATGTTGTAGGAACAATTTACAAGTTTTGATGTATTTTCTCTTGTTAAGTATTCTATGTTGTATTGATGTGTTCGAGTATGAATATTACATGATTATTTGTTATGGCATATATGATGATTGAACTGTGTTATACCGGTTATGATTTGAAAGTTTTTTAGCGGTGTTTATAAGGTGTTTTTTATGTTGTTGAGAGTATGTGATTATCATGTGTTGTATCTAGTTTGTAACACTTCAAAAGGAGAAAGGAGACCTTATTTGTAGCAAACAGATCGGTCTGGATTGAACCGGGGCGAAAAACAAGCTGATTTGGTGTTTTAGGTAATAGGCACGATCGTGCGTAAGGAAATACGCACGATCGTGCGTGGCTGGCAGTAGCTGCTCGGTTGAAACCATATTTCAGGGCAAAGTCGCCCAACCGTTGGGCGACTTATAAGTCGCCAAACCGTTTGGCGACTTATAAGTCGCCCAACGGTTGGGCGACTTTGTCCTGACCACGGTTAAGGCCCAGCAGTATTTTGGTAAATACTTTTTTTCCAGCATTATTTCCGTAAATAATTAATTAATTAACATTAATACGGAAAAAAACTCTAGGAAACTACGAGTCCTGGACTGAAAATTCGAGTATGAATTCAAGGAGGAAAATAGCTCAAGTGTTGGGACATTTCATTCCCCCAATAGCTAGCGTATTGACGTATTGTGATCATTGAACTTCATCATCTATTTATATGAATTACATTATGCCATTAACTATGACATCACACTATTACAATAATCTATTGACGTATTGTTATCATTGAACTTCAGCATCTATTTATATGAATTACATTATGCCATTAACTATGACATCACACTATTACACTAATCAATTACATTAATTGTTCCTCCAAACGATTAAATTATCAATCTGAAAGGCCCTTAACGCCCCGAACCGACATGATATATGCGTAGTTGTACATTACAGTAGCTTAGGGAGTGTTTGCGATTGACTGTGTTTTTTAAAAGTGATTTATTAAGAGATTATTGGAAAAGTGATTTGTAGTAAAAGTTGGTAGTGTTTGGAAATAGAAGTGATTTTAATTAAAATGTAAAAGTTGGAGTGTTTGGTAAAAAAGTGATTCCTAAGGTAGTATTTTATTAAATTACAAAAATAACCTCCAATTAGATAATCTTGCCTCTACAATAAGATGCTCCATCAGTTGCCAACAAAAGGATGTTCCAGGCGTACGGCAGCATTGCTCTGCCCTGGAGAGAAAGCGAGTGAGTTATGGATGGGAAAATCGGAAGAGGCAGAAAAAGGGTTGGTAGAATTGGGCAAAAAAATAGAATATGATGATTAAAATCCGAAGAGAGCACAAACAGTTGTGCAGATTCCACCCTGACTGCCGGCGATGGCGAAGCAAATCTGATGCGGGAGTGGCGGCGGCGGTCTGGTGTAGCGAAGCACATCGTCCCGCTGCAATTTTTGGAGGAGGGAAGGTGGTTGTTGCGTAGGGATGATGGAAGATGCTCTGTACGAGTGTACTTGGGATAAGGGTACTTTTGGAGTAATTTTTATATTTAAAAATAAAAACATCCCAAAAGTTGAACTTATTTACGGAAATACCAAGAAGCAGAAAAAAGCATGCCCCGACTTGCTTTTGGCTTAAAACTGACTAAATTAAGCTGAATTTTTCATTTGCAAACACCTCATTTAACTTTTACACTCCAAAAAAGCTGAAAGTGCTTTTTTTAAGCATTCACAAACACACCTTTAGTCAGTCCAAGTGTTCAATGGTTATAGATCTTATATCCGTACGCACCAGAGACCCAGCGCAACACACATGGGTTGAAACCTGCACACAAACGCTGTGTGTATTGATTATTAGTCATTCCTCCAATTTTCTCATCACTCGACCAACTGAGCTACTCGTGCGGATACATTAATTGTTATATTACAACACGAGAAGGTTAGCCTCGTGGATAGGTTGATCCGTCTGGCAATCGGCTTGGCTCCTCTTTTGCTAGGTTTGTAGGTCAGCCATGCTCGCGTATTGACCGTCTTGGGCTCTTTTCTTGTCGGACTTCTAGGTTGGACTGGCTCGGATGAATCTCGATCTCAGGCTTGGACACGCCCCAAATTCGTCACACTATGGACCTGATTACATAACCCCGTCAATTGTCGACCATTATAATCATCATTTGACAACAAAATTAAATAAAGGGAAAAGGATCAAATAAGGCCTTCTATTATTACGGAATCGTCACATAAGATCATGTATTCAATAAAGTATCATATAAATACGTCTACTTATAAAAAACAATCGAATGCGTCAAAACGGTCCGTTGACAGCCTTCTAATCCCGATTATAAATGTGGCTAATATATCCCATGCTCATCTTTTTCAAGTCAACGCCCTAAAAATTAAGCCTGAGAGACTTGTAAAATCATGATTTATTTGTCTTACTTGGTCTTTCCACAACCAAAAGTCACGAAATAGTAATTCAAAGCTATAAAAAGTTTTGAGCATATTTATGCAAGCAAACTCAATTGTTTCCCTAGGTAATTGGAGAATTCCCTGGAGTAAGATGGAGCTCACAAACAAAATACTACTACCTACTCGTATATATTATAAAAATAAAATGTGGAAGTGTCTACATTGTGATCCCCACTATAACGACAAATACCACGTCTATTCATTTATAGACTAAAATGTATTTAAATCAATTCTAATTCTCTACTTTGCAATCAATTCAACTCTACTTTAATAATTATCTCTATGTTTATATCTATATTATATCTCTAGATCGAAGGGGAGAGTATAGTAGTAAGATAAATGAATAATATGGATATTTTGTTACCACTTACGATTAGTGGTGGATCTACGGTAGGGGCAATGGGGAAGTTGTCCCCTCTCAACCCCCACCCAACTCCTACATATACATATATAATTAAGGAGTATTTTTTGTATATATTCGCACATATGTACTAAATGTATGTATATTTTGGAACCTACATTAAAATTTCTATAGAATCAAAACGAAAATGTGTTAACTAAGGAATTTAACTTTGCAAATCTTTTTGGAGCAGGAGTACTATTAATGTGAAGTTACACGGGCAATTTTTTTGGCAAAAGACGTTACATAAACAATAAAAAAAATTTAAACCGAATGTAACTATATTTTTGGCTGACATATAAAGTAAAACACGTATTTTTGAAATTGATATTAATTTTGTAGTGAATATTTGCCCCGCTCAAACAAAATCCTGGATGCGCGACTGCTTACGATATATATATATATATATATATATATATATATATATATATATATATATATATATATATATATATATATATATATATATATATATATATATATATATATATATATATATATATATATATATATAGAGAGAGAGAGAAAAGATCCAATGAGAAGTCCATCTTAGGCTGAAAAATGAGAAGTTATTTACACCGTTCGATCGCCTCATCCACGCCCATCTCCATCGCACACTGCCTATAATCTTCCGTCGTTCATAATGGCATTTTTGTTATTTTACCTATCTTTATAGCTTTCCTCCTATTCAATCGATTCCTCATCTGGACCTAACATAGTCATCCGCCAATCTCTTCTAGACCTAGCATGTTCATTCGCCAATCTTTTCCTTCATCTTCGATCTCCTTGTTGAAGCTTCATTGACTACTCTCATATGACGATTCAATCAGTATTTCTTTGCAATTTTTCTACTTGTTATTCAATCTGACTTACTACGGCGAAGGTGTATTGCGAATCTTCCGAATTTCAAACATCTGGTAATTTTTAAATTCTACAATATTGAATTAATCAGTGTGTTTCAAATCATTGTTTGATCAGTTTATTTCCGCACTAGTATGCTTACTAATTGGTTTTGTTCTTTTATTTTCTAACTCTCTTACTCAACCTCATGTTTCTGTTACTTGAACGCACTATTTATTCTGTGTAAAGATGATTTATAAGTCACTTATACCTATCAAGTGTTTGTTAAAATGCTTAAATGATAATCGGCTTCATTTGAAAGAGAGTCGAATTTTACGAATTAAACTCATACAGTCATACACTAATTTATTGTTGAAACATCATCTATGTAGTTAGACGTACTTTTTATCCTCTTTAATTTTCATTTTATGTTATAATTTAAGCTCTTAGAATTTAGAGTAATAGTTAATAGTTAGAATTTAGAGTTTTAGTTAATAGTTCATCATTAGTATTACATGGGCCAACAGAGGGAGTGACCATGAAACCAATTTGGTGCATATCATCATGTTCCTTAACCTAAAATGTAATTACTTTCTCAGCCTTTATGCACTTAACTTAATGCATGTAAATGACCTTTCTTATACGAAGTGCTCTGATTCATGTGTTTGATGCTATTTCGTTGTCAGGAGTTTACTTGATTAATGTAGAATTTTGTTGGGAGAATTTAGTTGTGAGAATTATATGTAGATTAACAATTGATGTATTACTGCTATTAGTGGAAGAGCTGTTGTTCCTGTTGTGCATTGCTAAAATATAGAGTAATAATATATGTGAGTTCTGAATAAAAGTTATGTCGTTTGAGTTAATAGTTATAGTAATTTGAGTACAAGTTTTTTTTTTCGTTTGAGTAAAAGTTACGCATTAATAGAGAATGTTAATTTGCAAACACTAATTTTTAAGATATTATTTCCCTTTTAATTTACACTTGTTGCAGGGATATAGTGGTCTCAAAAAAGAAGAAATGAATATAACGTAGAACTATCAGACCCTGTCATTAATTTCAGCTCAGATTGTGAGCTATGGCCTAAAATCAAAGAGCTTGAGGTTAAGGGGGAAGACTGCATTCAAATCACAGAAATATCTTAGTATCTCTTTTCCGTTTCCACCCTAGAAAGACAATCCTTTTATAAGCTTTTTTTCTTATCAATTTAAAGGTATTCTTCATATTGAGTCTATGTGTTCAGTCAAATTGATATGTATGAACAAATTAAAATAAGGTGGCTATGAAATTCTCCAATATCTTCAAAAAATTCTTGCAAGCGACTTGTTAGTTGTAGTTCTAGTGTATTTTTCTTGTTATTTCTAACACAAATGATCAGCTACGAGTTGTGAATAAAAGTTTGGTCTTTTGAATTAATAGTTATAGTAATTTGAGTAAAAGT